TAAACCAAACTTATCCCAATTTTGCGGGGGAGGAGACTGAGTTCAGAGACCTTGACTGCCTTGTCCAGGCTCCCACGGCCATTGTTAGCAGGCGGAGGCTGAGGGAGGAAGTGGATGTGTCCACGATTCTGTAGCCCGGACTCCCCCCAGATCTCCAGCCAGAGCCCCATCCACCACACAAGGGCTAACCTTAGGGGCTCATTTTGAATTCTCTGATTTCCAGCCCAGGCTTCTCAGAATCCTGCTTCACTGGGCAGTTTGTAAAAAATTCCTTTATCATTGGGGTTAATGAGGGTTCTTCCATGGGCAGAAAAGACCTGGTGCGGGGGGGGTCTCTTCCTTGGCCTCATCAAAGACAGGGTCTGGCCTTGCCGGGTTATGCTGGGCTTTTGTGCAGACCGACTTACCCAGGGAGGCTGCTCCACGTGCTCAGAGGTTCCTGGGTTGGATAGAAGCTGCTCCTCTGTTTGCCCTTCCCCTTTGGTCCTACTGGGTGACACTTGACATTGTGGTTAAGCACACGTATGCAGGAGCTAGAGCACTCCAGTGCAAATCCCACTCTGTCGCCTTCTAGCTGTTTGACCTTGGAAAATTCCCGAGCCTCTTCTTGCCTTGGTTCCCCGGCTGCAACATGAGGATTACAATAGTACCTACTTCACAGGGTTGTCATGAGAAATGAATGCGTTAATACACCGGCAAGTACTGGGAACAATGCTCAGGCACCACAGAAACTGGCTAATTGTTATTTATTCCATTGCTAGCAATTGTCACTTTTATTGTCCTTCCCCCTGGCTGTCTAGAAGCTCCTTGGGACCAGGTCAGGCTAGTGTCCCCCTAGTCGAGCGGGCCTGGCCTTCAGGTAGGGACTTAGTAAATGTGTGATGGGTGAGAGAGGGCGTGAGCAGAGCTATGAGCTGAGGGAAGGCTTTTGAGAAAGACACCTCTGAGCAGCTTCCTCCATGGCCAGCCCCTGCAGAAGTCAGTGACGGCCAGGGGCCTGTCTGGCTCACATAGCAGGTCCATTGCAGCACGCTTAGGACCCAGGTCTCCTGACCCCAGTCCTGGTCTCTGACCCCAGCACCAGTTGGCCTCCAGGTTCCAGTAGTTTCTGCTCCTTGTTTCATGGCAAGACCTCCCCTACCTGCCCAACCTGGCCACACCTGTTTGTTTGCTTAAAATAAAGGGAGACAAGTTTTTGGAAGCTCGGTAAGAAGATGGAAATAGAACAAGTCCTCTAAGAGAACACAAAATATCCTTCAAAGCAGCCAAATGAACCTGTTGTGTATAACTCAAAGGAAATACAAATTGGGGGCAAATGCGTCCTTAGACAAAGGGAAGACAGACCCCGGGTGAGAGAAAGCTGGGCATAGCCGGGCTGTGCGAGGAGGCTGCTGTGGCCAAAGCAGACAGAGGGAGGGAGCGGGATGTTCCTGGCAGTGGGGTCTGCACACGCTCTGACATTGACTTTCCCTCTTGGGAGTCACCTGGGCGTCGGCTGCCCGGATGAGACCTCGGAGCCTTTAACCCAAGTAAGTCTCCGCAGAAGCGCTCTTCCTGAAGCTTGTGCTGCCTGACCACCCATCAGGTGTGGGCTAGGAGTCAGGACCCCTGAGGATCTGGAAGGCCCAAAGGGGTTCTAGACACCTAGCTCACTCTCTCTCTAGATTGGCCAGCATTCTAGAAACTTGTGGATGACCCTCTGAGCTCTGGTGAACATCCCCACCCCCAGCCAAAGATCCCAGGGCATCCCTTTTGACTTCTGTATGACGTTTTAAAATTTCAGAGAGATCTTTTAGGGGTTTGGGATTCTGGGACATCCCTATATTTCGGGATTTCTGAGAGCTGCCCCAATTCTAACGCTCTGAGGTACCAGAGACCACAGTCTAAGCTGGACTGTTCTGGAGTACTACCTTATTTCATGGGGCCAAAAAATGCCCCCACATTCCAGCATTCTGGGACAGGCCCACAGCCTTCAGGGTTCCAGAAGCATCCTCTGCAATTCACGAGTTCTCAGTAAGGCCCCCTGGAGGGGAAGAGTCCTGATGTGTTGCTGGGTCCTGTGGGATTCCTCTGAGGTCTGGGGATTCTGGACAAGCAGCAGCTCTAGAGCGAGGATGCAGGCGGGGAGGTGGACACAGGGCTTATGAGACGGCGGTAGCGCAGACTTAGCCCCTTGAGTCCCGTGTCCATGTCTGGGGAAGTAAGTCGGGGCTTGCTGAGCTGGAACTAGGGAACTGAAAAATCGTGGCTGGCTCCAGCAGGAGAAGGGATCATCCAAACACGGACCGGCAACAGCCAAGGCCCCCCTGGGTGGTCCCTGACCATCCTCCCAAGGCAGCTAAGGAGAGTCTCACACTCAGTGCCAGGGGCCACCGCTGCCGGAGGCTGGAGACCTCCCAGTAAGCGGGGCCGGGAGGCAGCGGGTGAGATAAGGGCTCTGGCAGGGGAGGAGACTAGGCTCCCACCTGCAGAGCCACCCAAGCGGACGTGCCCTCACCTAGAGCTGGAAATTACTGAGAGCAGAAAAGCGACTTTATGGAGTGAATCAGGCCCCCCCTCCTCCCCTCCTTCAGGTCTCTGCACAGGTTCACCTGCATGAGACCTTCCCCGTCCCCCTGACCCGGAGCTGCACCTGCTCTGGCAGGTGGACCTCCCCACTCTGTTTTGCTCCATGGCCTTTCTCTTCCCGTGTATTTTGTCCATTTTCTTGCTTTTTGTCTGTCTCCCATGAGGGAAAGAATTTTTATGCTGTGTTTTTATGCTATATCCATGCTGGCTCAAAGTGGGTTCTCAATAAATATTTGTTGATTTTTTTTTAAACTCAGATCGCCAATTCCATGGAATTGTCATGTTAACTACAGGTTGCTTTTGGCCAACTCGTCTGCAACGGGCAAAGCCTCGAGCTGTTGTCTTCCCACAAGTCAGTGGGTTTAATCCCATGAGGGGCTGTTATTGTGTCCTCTGCAGATGAGGCCTCTCAGGCTTGGAGCAGTTAAGTCGCCTGCCCAGGGTCACCCATGGACAAGTGTTAATGCTGGGATTTGAACTGGTGTGGCTCAGTCTGTGGGCTTAACCACAGCTCCCTCTATCTGGCCTCTTTCTCTGCCTATGGTGTCTGCCGTTACCCCTGGTCCCTGGGCTCTGCCTCCATGGACACTGGCCACCCACAGTCACCACTGTTGAACACCCCTAATGCTGGGCCACAAGTCTTGCCTTTCAACTCCTGGCCGCTGGGGGCTCTACCCTGAGCTGACCCTTACCAGCCCATTTCAGGGACCAGCCCTGAAGAGAGAATCTCAGTCACAGGATCTATATTGGGGAAGGCTCAGAGAGGCCAAGTGGCCTGCCCCGAGTCACACAGCATGCTCAAGTGTAGCCGTGAGGCACCTTGCTTCGTCTGTGGGCCCTCACTCCTCTGGGGATAGGAAGGCATCATTAGGGAACTTCCCAGGGCTATTTTCTAGCGTGGTGGGCAGGGAAGCCCTGGGTCTTTGCTTGCCTGGCCTTGCGCTGGGCAGTGGGGTGGGAGCAATGGGGCTTGATTTCCTCAGGCCAGGCCTGTGGGCAGGTCTGGGCACTGTCCCAGTGACCTCCCTCCCCAGGGGCATTCCCAGGCTCCCTGCTCCTCCCCAGGCGCCCCCTGGCCTCGGCCTGCTCCGCCCTGGTGCTCCCCATGCCTGTGACTGAGGCTGGCCAGCTCGGGGCCTTGCCGGAGCCGGGTCCAGGCCCCAGTGGATTCCAACCCGAGGCCTGGCTCAGGCACTTCTGGTTGAGGAATTTCATCACCTCCTCGCACTGGTCGTTTTCCTGGTGAGCCTCCAGCTCACCCTCACCAGTCAGCCCACCCGCCACAGTGGTTGGTGTGACCCTAATGCAAATCTAAGCGGGTGACTCCTCAAGATCCATCTGTGGCTCCCCTTTGCCCTCGGGACAAGCCCAAGCTCCAGAAGTGGCCCACGAGGCCGGGCACCTCCTGGTGCCGGCCACCTTTGAACCGCAAGGTCTCTTTTGCCTCGACAGCCAACCCCCCCCCAACCTGCCCTGGGCCAGCTGCTGTTCACTTTCTGAGCCTTAATCGTCGCTCTTGAGCAAACCTTCCCCAGCCCCCTCAGAGTTTCTGATTGGGTGACCCTCCTCTGTGCCTTGGGCTTCCTGGTTTCCCTTCAGAGCACACGTGTGAGGTGGTAAGGGTCTGTCTGTCTGCTCCCCACCAGAGTGCCAGCTCCCTGGGCGAAGCCAGCTTGTTCCTCGCCAGTCTTTCCATCGCCCTGATTCGCAGTTGATGTTGGTGGTGTCTCTGAATGAGTGAATGTACGAGCCAACGGAGGAGTCAGCCATCTGGGGCTGGGTTTCCCTAACTATAACATGGGAGAGTTAGGTTAGCCTTGTGGCTCTTGTCGTAATGAGGTCTTCTACTGGCACCTCTAACCTTTCAGGGCACACCTGGACTTCCCCTTAATTGTAGACCTGGGATGGTCTACAACCTACTGGGCACTGCGCCTGGATTCATGAGATTCCTCACCTCCCTGACTTTCACCGGAGCTCAGTGGGACAGGGAGCCGTGTCCCGCATCTAACCGACTGGGATCCAGAAAGTGGTCTAGGAAGGGGGCAGGACTTGCCAAGGGTCTCAGAGCAGGTCCATTGGAACTTGGGGCTCATGATCCTTCCAGCACCAAGCCACATGCAGCCAGCACAGAGAAGCACCCCCCTCAGTCCACCACCTGCCACAGGTCAAGGCCAAACCAATTTCCTTCACATCTCCCTCCTGGAGCTGCTCATCATTTGGTTTCCCCATAGTGTCCCAGTGGCACAGAGTAGTTGCTCAATTAAAATGCATGTAATACATGAAAGAGCTGGAAATCTGGAATATTCCTGATCAGAAGGGGGCACACACTTCTGCCAAGAATCTTTGCCTCCTCTTCCTCACAGCCCCCCAAGAACCCCTCCCCCCTAACATGTCCCCAGGGGAAGTGACTATCCGAAGGACAGGACCCACCAGACCTGGGGCTGCGGCCTCTTTATTGGTATGCACATTTCATGACCTGCTGCCCGGTTCCTCCTGAATCCAGTCTCATTTCTCATAGTCTGGGGTGGCACCCTCCCTTCGCTCCCCTCCAGCCCTTCAGCCCTCACCCCTGGGCCCTCAGGAACTGTCCTTGCCCAGCCAGCCTGCAGAACAGACCGGCAGCTGTCACCCCTGTTTAATAGATGGGGAGACCGCAGCTCCAGAGCGAAGAGCCCAGCCCCAGGTCGCACGGTGGTCTCCTGGGCTTCCATCTAGCCCTCAGCGGGGAGGGAGGACTCTGCTGGGGCTCCGTGTGCCCTCGTGGGAGGGTGGCTGGCTCCGGCCGCGTCGCAGGGAGCTGCTGATCTGGTCTCTGAGGGCCTCCAGCCTCCGGGCCAGGTTTGGAACTGCGGCCCCACCTGAGGGGCACGGCGAGACTTGAGGACTGCACTGTCCTGGGCTCATCCGGTCCCAACGTCCTCTGGGGAAGCCTCCGGGGGTGCCCACTTGCCCCTGCCCCCCACATACACCGTGGGCTCTGGTATACATCTGGGCCCGAATGTGACCCAAGGAAGAGAATTCCAAGTCTGGAAACGAGAAAGGTCTTGGAAATTACCACTCAGCATGTACCCTGATCCAGAAATGGAAAGACTAAGGTCTGGAGAGGGTGGGCTCTGGCCTAGGGTCCCAGAACACACTAGCGGCCCCTCCCTCTTTCCCTTCTTCACCTCTCAGCACTGGCGACGTGTTCGGGGGCCCCATGGGCAGGGGCGGGGCAGAAGGTACCACCTCCTCCTCGGTGAGGATCTCCGCCAGGACTCGGGTCTGAGTCCAGTCGCTGTGGCTCCTGGGACAGGGCGAGTCGGTGGTGCAGGTGAGTCGGCACGTGCCCAGGTCTCCTCCTGCCCCACCCCGTCCCCCGGGGCTGGGCCCACCTCTCTCTCGGGCACTTGGCAGAGCCATGGCTGCTGCATGGGGGTGCCCAGGGTGGGGGCCGGGCAGGCAGGATCATGCCATCTGGGGTCTTAGCACCAAACACCTGCAGGAAAGACCAGAGCCGACACTGGGTGACCTCAGTCCTGTCCCTCTGGGCCCCACCTCCCGGGTGCTGAGCACACCACCGTCCCTGCCGCACCAGCCTGATGGGGCACCAAGTATGTCAGATGGGCATAAAGGGGCGAGGTCTTGGGCACTTTTTCTGTGGGCAGCGGGGGGCCCTGGTCGTGTACTCTCTGGAGACTAGAACTCCCTGAGGGCAGAGGCTTTGCCCAGTCTGTGTCAAAGAGCTTGGGGGAGAGTCAGGGAGCGAGTGAGCAAACACACGAATAAGCAAATGCACACGTGAGGAATATGTAAGTGGATGAATGAATAAGCACATGGTGGAGAGAATTCCTAAAAGGCGGCAGGATGAAGGGGAGCAGGAGGTAAACAGCGATTCTCATCCTCAGCAGAAGGAGCCCAAAGCCAGCCACTGGCCCCCGTGACCCAGCCTGGGACCCTGGAGGCCCTGGAGCTCCGGAGCCTCCTGATCTGACCCCCCAGATCAAGGTCTCCAGCTCTCCTGGACGTCCCTCAGCCCTACCTGGGCCTTTCCTACCTGGGGCAGGTGGAGCTCCCTCTGTGGGCAGGCCCAGTGGGCCGGTGGCGCTCGGCACAGAGGGCAGAGGTGGCAGCAGGGGCAGGCGCACAGGGGCGGCAGGGCCTGCAAGAGGGCACGTCAGAGGCCCCCGGTCGCGCCTGCCCCTCCCTGCTCAGGCTGGGTGGAGACTCACATGGCAGGAGGGAACTGGCCCCATGGCACAGGGACACAGTGGGGCAGGGCGGAGTCCAGGCCGGTGAAGGCAGCAGGCAGAGAGGAGGCGCCTGGAAGGGACAGCGGGGTCTGCCCCTGCAGCCCTCAGCCCGACCCGCCAGGCCGGCCCCCACGTGCCCCGCTTCAGCGAACACCCCCGGGGCACTGACTGCGTGCCGGCCACCGTTCGCAGCACTTTACCCATGAACTCATTTGATCTGGTCTTTCAAACAAGCCTGTAAAGTGGGCGCGGTATCATCCCCACTTGACAGAGGAGGAAAACCAGGCAGTGAGAGGTTACATGACTCACCCAAGGTCGCACAGCTAGTAGGTGGCAGAGCTGGAATTGGAACCCAGGTGGTCTGGACCCAGAGGTCAGACTCCTAACCATTCCATTCACCCACCCCTTTCCCAGCTGCCCTCCACCCCAAGGCCTGACTCTGGGCTGGTGGCCGTGCTCACCGCTCCAGCTCATGGACCTGCTGGGCCAGGACGTGCTGCTCATCCCGGGCCAGGTCCCGGCTACTTTGCAGCTGGCTCTTTTCTTTCCTGGGAAGAATAGGCCCCAGGACGGGGACAGGAAGCAGGGCTGGTGGGGGTGTCAGCCAGCCCCCCATTGCAGTGCAGTACAAACCCCAGCAGGCCGGTGGAGCCAGAGGGAGTGAGGGGCCGGGGAGGGAGGCAGTTTGGCAGAAGCGGCCCGGCAGTGAGAGGCAGGCACTGAGTCCCCTGGCTGGGCCCTACCTGAGCCTCTCATTCTCCAGCATGAACTCCTGGAGCATCCCGTAGAGGTTCCGCTGGGCCCAAGCCACTCGGGTACCACTGAGTCCAGAGACTGCAGGGAAAGGGGCGACGGCCGGATCCCGAGGAGTGCAGGCCCTCTCCACATCCCGCCTCACCCCCAGGGAGCTCATACCCTTGGGGTCCATCCGGCCCAGTTGGGACCGAAGGAGATGGTTCTCCTCCCTGAGCTGCGCTATCTCAGTCTCCAAACGCTGGGGCTGCTTTGCCATAGGGGACTGCAGAGAAAGAGCCCAGCATTGCTGTTTGTGGCTGTGCAAGTCACACACTGCATGAGGGCCTCCGGGAGCGGAGAGAGAGGGGACCCTAAAACCAGCCCTTGCTTCACCCACCAGTCTTGCACCCTGGCACAAGGCTACATCCACCTGGAGGGGGCACCTTGTCCTAATGGCATCAAAGTACCTATGGCCTCGGCTGCATGACTGCAGGGCCCTCTGTGAGCTGGACCCTGCTCCAAGTCCAACTCAAAACTCCGTCCTGACCCCAAACAAGACTCCACATCAGACCCCTACTCATCTCAAACTTAATCACGATACCCACTGGGATTCGGACTAGACCCTGAATCATACCCCAAATCAGACTTCAACCTTAGACCTGCCATAACCCTGACCATGACCCTGACCCCACCCCATCATCAGGACTTCAGCTCTAACCCTAACTCTGACTCAGTCCCAGCCATGACACCAACTCAGGCTCCAACTACTGCCTGTCCCCAGCCATCGTCCCCACCATCCCCCTGCCCGTGTCTCCCTCCGTTCACCTTGGGGGCCTGCGGCTGAGTGGTGACCCGCTGAGCTCGGCTGGCATATCGCAGGGTACTGAGAGTCTCAGGAAGGCACTGGGCTGAGGGGGACACGCAGGCCACCTGGGGAGGAGGCCCCTGAGTGTTCCTCTCTGGGAGCCCGTCCCTCAGGCCCCGCTCTTCCCTGCCGGCCCCCCTCAGGTACCATGAGGGTGACTCCCGCCCCCCCAGCGAGTCTGCCAGCAGCTTGGTGAGCTTGCTGTCTCGAAACGGAATGTGGCTTTGCTTCCACCGTGGGTCCAGCAGCAGGGAGATGCAGTGACCTGGGTGGGGAGAGTGAGGCCCAGCCAGGTTACACCCGAAGGCCACGCAGCTGGTCCGTGTAGAGCAGGAACCTCTGCCCACACCTCCAGTGCCCAAAAAGGGCCTGGCACTGGGCAGGGGCTCAGGAAGTGTCTGACACATGGACTGAATGGAGAGGAGCTCCCGGAGCAACTTCCCACGCACGCCCTCTGGGGAGGAGGCGGGAAGGCAGGGCAGGTCCCTGCCCCTCAGCCTGCCCAATGCACAGGGCACAGGCTGAGTGTCTGGTGGCCCATACTCTGCACTTGACTGAGTCTACCTCCCAACTTAGAATGTAGCTGTATTCTCGTAGAATAAAGTTTACGAGGTGTCTAGATTCATCAAAAGGGTTCTGAGAGTGGAGGCACAACAGCAAGCTAAGGCCAGAAGGAGGCCTGTGGCTCCTGGCTCTCAGCTCTTTATGCACTACACCCCCTCTGGTTCCACCACTGCTCTTACTGCCCCTCCCCTTCGTGGACAGCTGCAGGCCAGGCAAGAGCAGGGACTCAGAGCCGGGCCCCGGGTCTCACCCAGGGCCAGCAGGCTGCGGTTGATGCTGTTGGCCTCCAGCATCAGCTCCCCACGGGATCCTGTGGCTGCCACCTTCTCACTGCCGGCCAGGTCTACAAAGCACAGCTTCCCACCGGTGGGGGGTTCCCCGGGATCCTCAGGAGGCGCCTGCTGGGATTGGGGGGTCAGGGCTTGATGGGAACATGGTTTCTACCATGACCTCCTGTGCACACCCAAGTTGTTTACACACCAGAGGTGGACCCTTGCTGCATGGCCCCGGGCCAGCTCCCTCCCCAGGCTGGGGGCACTCACAGTCTGGCGGCCGACATAGAGTGTCAGCAGGGCATGGCTTCGGCTGGAGGCCTGATTCAGGGTGTGAGCTGAGCTCCTTCGACGGCTAAGACCTGGAAGGGAAGAGCATCAGGAGCTGGACCTGGTAGGAAGAGCAGGTGGTCACCAATGACGGACAAGGAGCAGAGGCGTCCTGGCGAGGGAGGGCCCAGCCTGTGCAAAGGCCCAGTGGCAGGAAAGGAAGATGAGGGGATGTGGGGTCCGGCTCTGGCACGAACAGGCAAGAAGGGGACAGACAGAACTGAGTGGAAGAATGTCCGATTCACATTTGATTGACACCCCTCGTATTGCTGTGTGGAGAAAGAGAGAGGGAGCAGAGAGGTCAGGGGGCAGGATGCTGGGCTGGGCAGGAGCCCAGACTCTCAGTATCCCCAGTGCCTGTCCCAGGGTGGGCGTTCAGTAAGCACTGGATGGACAGGTAGGACTGGAACAGAGGGGCCGAGAGGCTAGACTAGGAGTTATGACCTTGGCCTTCAGGACATTGGAAGGGTCTGGGGGGAAGAGGGATGTGCTTTGCCGCATGGAAGGGTGCAGATGGGAAGCAGGGGGGCTTGAGGTGGCGAGGCCTCTCTATGGAGAAAAAAAGTGCTTTTTTAAAAGGCCTGCCTGAGGCAGAAGAGCTGGGTTGGAAAGAGGGGTGGGCCCAGAAAGAGCGTGGGAGGCAGCAGTGGCAGGTCTGGGGGGCGTCGGTGCGCCGTGTCTGAATTGTTGTTTTGCTGGCCCTCGCCTAGCACAAGGGTCACCTAGCTGACCACCCCCAGCCCCAGCCAGGGGCCCCACGTGCAATCAGTGAGCCACAGAGGGATGGGCTTCCTGGGACCCCAAAGCTCCCCTGAAGTGGCACGCACCCATCTGCAGAAGTTCCATCAGGGCCCCCAGACTCCCAAACTCCACCACCCGCAGCTGCTCCACATAGAAGCCCCGGGTCTTGTTCCAGCGAACAGGGAGGGGCCGGGGAGACCCTGGGCTCAGCAAGTCCCGGACCTGGGAGATGAGGGTGGAGGGTGAGGGAAGGAGACCCACCCCCAGACCTTACTGACAGCAGTCCCCCCCCCCCCGCCCCCATTCTGCCCCTTGGCCCAAGCTCCTTGGGAAGCAAGGCTTCCGTTCAATTGAACGATTTCTGTTTGTGTCAGTCCCCCACCTGCTCATTGCAGATCCCACCTGCTCATTGTAGATCTCCAGGTAGGAGGCCCGCAGGGTGACAGGCGCACCCAGGTGCTGCACGCGCTCTAACAGCCAGGCGAAGGTCCTCTGCATGATGCCAGCCAGGCTGGGGGGTATGGGCACCCCCTCTTCCTGGGGGCAGAAACATTACCACAGCAATAACTACCCTTCCTAGCACCCCCAGTTACTATGCCCCAGAAATGATGCCAAGTTCCCATACAACATCTCACTGAATTCTCACAGTCAGGACGATCACTTCCAGGTTACAGATGACGACACGAAGAGCTAGTCAGTAATAGGGGCAACATTAGAACTGCATATTGGGCAAGTCCCTTCACCTCCCTGGGCCTCAGTTTCCCTGTCTGCAAATACTTGGGGCTGAGCTACACCGTCCAAAGCCCTTCCCTCTGCGAGCCTGCGCCGTCGGTAACTCCCCACTGACCCACGACCTTGGGGGGGCGCTCTTCTCGTGCTCAGCCCACCTGGGGCGGAGGCCCAGTCAGGGTGTAGGTCTTCCCGGAGCCGGTCTGGCCGAAGGCGAAGACGGTGCAGGAGAAGCTGTGGGCAGCGGGTGGGGGTGTGGCTGGATCCCGGCGGCGGCGGGCGGGGTGCGGCCGGGGTGCGGCCGGAGGTCAGGGCGGTGCAGGGTTGCGGAGGACCCCCAGGGCCTCACTCACCCGCGCAGCGCCAGCTCCCCGAGTCGCCTGACGCCACACGCCCGGAACACATCCTCCTGCGTGCGTGCCCCGTCCAGCACGGCCCCGAAGCGGAACGCCACCTCCGCGCCCCCGCCCGGAGGGCTCACCTGAGGGAGGGGCGGTGGAGAAGGGGTCCGGGCCTAGGGAGGGCGGGGCCTGGACAAGGTTGCCTAGGGGTCGGGATGAGGCGCTCCTGGGCAGGGTTTTGAAGTGCTAGGGTGGGGCTAGGGAGTAGGAGTGGGGTGGGAGGGGTCCTCACCTGCAGAGTCTTGGCCCCTGTGCAGTGCAGCACGCTCTGTTCCCCTCGACGCAGCTCGGCAGCGCTCATGGGACGCACCCTGGAGACCGACGGGAGGGTGGATGGTCCATCCCGATGTCTCCATCGGCCCCTTCCTCTCTCGGGCACATCCTAGCCAACTTATACCCACCTGAGCACCACCTGGATGGGTGTATCTGGCCCCTCTGGCCCCTGCTCCAGGCTCCGCGCGGGGTCCCTGTGGCAGCACGGCGAGTTAGTTAAACCGTCCCTCCGCCCAGCGGCTCCTCGAACCTCCCAGAAACTCTGCTTACCCATCGGGGGATCCGCGCTCCTCCATATCCTGCTTTGCTCATGGAGTTAGCTCTGCCTGAGTCTTGTTCTTTTCCTCCCCACTGCCCTCCCCTTTCCCACGCCGCTGGGACCGACTCTGCACCCCTTACATCCCCCGCCCCCCCTCCCCTCTCCCAGGCATTCATCCATCCGGAAAGGCTCCGGCCTGCCCAGGGCCTGCTGGTTAAAGATTTACCCACCCTCGCCTCTGGTGGAGAAAGTTTTTCCCAAGCTGGGGACCCCTAGCCAGGGGGTTCTGGAGTTTGAAGATCCCTCGCTGTTACCCAATCCCATGAGGAGGGGCCACCCAGACCAGCCTCCTCTGTGTGCAGGTGGGGATACTGAGGCAAGGATGAGAAGGGCAAACAGCAGACCTTGGCAGGGCATGGGCCAGGCTCTCTCTACTCTCCCCACATCCTCCAGTTTCCTGATTTTCCTCTCCCTTCTCCCCTCCCTAGCAGCTCCAGCTTCTTGGAATCCCAGGCCAGAGGGGTGGGAGGGGCCAGGCCTCAGCTCTAGGAAGACAGGGCTGGACTGAGTTCTTGACTGAGTTGACAGAAGGCCCCCAAAGCATCTGGTTAAACATTGGGCCACCTGCTTCTCCAATGCCAAGGCTGAGCCAAGGCCAGGGCTGGTGCTTAACCCTCTCTTGGCCTGGTTTCTGTAAGCAGCACAGATCTCTGGGAGTGTGCTGGGCACCGGGTGGAGGAATCCCCGAGTCCTGCTAGGGAGCCAGGTAAATACAATGCAGTGTGTGGGAGCTCTGGGGGGAGTTCAGAGGCCTGCAGGGGCAGGGGGGTGAGGGTGGCAGGTGAGGGTTATAGGGCCCCCTAAGAGGAAGGATTTAACAGGGAGAGCAACACAGAGCAAAGAGGGACTTGTCCCTGGCTCTGCCACTGACACGCCAGAGAGCTTTGGGCAAGTCGTTTCCCTTTTCCTAACCTGTGTCCTTCCTGTACAAAGAGATGAATGATTTTCCATAGTTGCTCTGAGGTTTCAGTAAGAATGTACAGAAAGACGGTCCCTGACATACAATGGTTCGACTTAGGATTTTTTGACTTTATGATGGTGAAAAAGCACTAGGTATCCAGTAGAAACCATACTTTGAATTGTGTATTTTTATCTTTTCCCAGAACAGTGACATGCGGTAGGGTACTTTCCCATGATGCCGGGCAGCAGCGGGGAGCGGAGTTCCCAGCCAGTCACAGGGTTGCGAGGGTGAACAGCCGACACTCTACAGTGTAGTATTAAATTAATTTTAGACTTTCAACATATTTTCAACTTACTATGAATTTATTGGGCTATAGCCCTATCATAAGTCTAAGAGCCTGTATTTGAAAGTGATTCATAAATTGTAAAGATTTCTCTAAAAGCCAAAATAGAGTCCTAACCAGTGTGGCTCAGTGGGTTAGGCATCGTCCTGAAAACCAAAAGGTCGCCGGTTTGATTCCTGGTCAGGGAACGTGCCTGGGTTGTGGGTGGGGTCCCGGTTGCTCTCGATGGATGATTCTCTCACACGTGGATGTTTCTCTCCTTCTCTCCCTCCCTCCCTTCCCCTTTCTCTAAAAATAAATAAATAAAACCTTTCTTTTAAAAGCAAAATAAAAATCCCTAGATGATCTTCAAAATTCCTTTCAACTCTGAAGTTCTGCAATCTGTCATATATTTTCTAACCCTACGACAAGAATTACCCTCCCATTTCTCAGATGAGAAGACAGGAACGCAGAGGTGGGCAGGGGAGGCTGTCCGTGGAGAAAGCAGTGGTGGACAGCAGAGCCAGAGCCGAGGGCTTGAAACCCGAGACTCTGAGCTGTAAGCCCGGGTGCTGTCTGCGGGGGGCAGGCTGCCTTTTCCCGTTGTAGACCCAGCAAGTGAACGGGTGCTTCCTTAACTGCCCTTAAAAGGGTTAAGGACTGTTGGTCTTTCACACTTTAGCGTGTGTTGATTTCATTTATCAGCTTGCTGTCTACCTCCTACTTCACAGTGATGAGCCACATCGAAGGGATTTCGAGAAAAGTGCAGAGGCAGGAGACCTGTGCAGGTTGGAATGTGATGAGCAGTTTGTAGGGACTTTTGCACCAGGCTTCCAACCTGGGTCAGAATGTGTACAACGCTGGATGTTTGGAACCTGTCCTCGATTCTAAAATGGCACCTTTTAGTCAAGAACAGCGGGCCCCCCACGTTTGAGGGAGGGACACAGGAAGGGAAGGCATTTGGGGAAACTCAGAACAACTTAAAAGCTGCCTGGACCCTGCAGGAGTGCATCTCCAAGGCCCCACTAGAGGGCAGCAGAGCACCGCGCCACGGTGGCCCCAGGGCACCTCACAAAGGAGGCTTTGTCAGACGCAGCCACGCTCTTTCCATACATTTTTTTTCTGAGCTTGGGCACTGGGCAGGGGCTGACCAGCCTGATTTTGTGGAGAGGGATGAGCAGGCCTTCAAGAAATGCTCTTTGAGGGAGCGAATAAAAGCAACATGGAGCAATCAGGGGACCCTCCCATGCACATGGCCTGCTCCTGGTCCAGCCCCTTCCATCCACTCCTCCCTTCAATCCCAGCCATCCTCCCTGGGAAAAGCCTGCCCTGACTCCCTGGGGCCTCAGAATAAAGACTGAGCTGCCCCGCTGAGACCCAAGGTCATTCGGACTGTATCATCTGCTGATCCCTGTGGTTGTCCCTCTCCACACCCCACTGCCCCCTACCCCTGCATCCTGTGCTCCAGTCCAGAAGCTTTCCTGGGCTTCTGTTCCATTCCTCTAGACATTGTTCCTGCTGTTCCCTCTGCCAGGAGTGCTGTCTTCTACCTGGTGGGCTTGTCCTGCAAGTCTTCTCATAGAAAGTCTTGCCTATCACCCTCTTCCCACCAGGCCAGGCTGGAGTTGTGTTTGTCCCGGCAACCTCCAGGGCTTCCCTCTGTTGTAGTGCTGATGACACTGCAGTGCTGATTCAGTGCTGTTCAGATTGGTCTTCCTGTCCGTTGGGAGCAGGGACTGTGCTGGCTTCATCCCTGCAGTCTCAGAGCTCCTGCACACAGTAGGAGCTCAGCAAGTGTTGGTCGGAGAAGAGAAGGACCTGGGAAGGAAGAAGGGAGGCTGATGATCTCTCCCCAGCTGCCATCTCCCCTCCCTCCCTCCTTTCAAGGCTAACCACAAACGCTTAGCTGCGTGATGTAAGCATCTCTGCAGGGACTCATATATCATGGAGAACGTCAGCCCCTGTCAGAACAGAGCTGCTCTCCAAAGTGCCCAGAAGCTGGGTGACACTCTCCCAAGCCCCAGCCAGGCTTGCAGAGGAGTCTGGGGCTCACCCTGCCAGACAGCCTTGCACTGAACTCAGGTGGGACAGAGATGAGTAAAAAGACCAGGGAGGAAGGACGTTCTCAGCTGATGACATGGCTCGCATCTTGCATTGTCCCACTTGTGCCCCTGGGGTGGAGGAGAAGACAGATGGATCCAAGTCCAGTTGTGAAATTTTCCAAAGAAAGCTTGCTGTAATCTTTAATTAAACGTGAATGTAGGCCATAGGACTCATTTCACAAAATCCTACAAAGCAGGGACTGTAGGGAATCACTGACTTTACTTCTATTCAGTTCCCTACCCCCATTTCACAGATGGGAAAACTGAAAGGAGGGGCAGTACAGGCTGGAGCAGCACTTGCATTGGTGGTGAAGAGCCGTGATTTTAGGAAGAAATGGAGAGAGTCACAGTAACCCATGGGTGCTGCTGGGTCACTCCTTCCCCTAAATGCCTGGCTCCTCTCCTCTGTGGCCTCACGGGGCTTCTCTGCGGCATCTGGCAGGTACCGGCAGTCAAGACAGGCTTCCTGCTTGACAAGGAGCTTTGTGAAGGGAGAGATCAACCCCCAAGGCCCAGCTCAGGGCCCTGCACGGAGGCTCACCCGCTGTCTGTCTGATGGAGGTCCCTGCAAGAGGAAGCCAAGTTGATCGTTTGGTGAAGATGAGCATCATGGGTGGTTGTGAAAGGACTCGGGGCTGTGGAAACTCCCTGTTGTTGCCGGGATCTCAGCTCTTCTCCCTGGAAATGTAAGCAGCTTTCCCCTGAGTCAGTCTACCCACTGTTCACCCGGGAATGACTTACCTATGAGCTGGATGGTTTCCTCTAAAAACAATCATGTTGACGTGTAAGAATGTTACAGGGGCCTTGAGGGTCCTCTCTTGCACAAGGATGCCTCATGTGTCTAGAACCTTCTGAGTCAGAGGGATGGGAGTTAATGTTCATTGAACACTTGGGTACTTCTTCTACTTCTTTTTAATTAGTTTTGAAAGCAACCTTCTGGGACTGACACTATGATCGTCCCCGTTTTACAGATGAGAAAACTGAGGCTCAGAGATGTTCAGTAACTTGCCCAAGGTCACACACCCACTAAGTGATGCGGGAATCTGACCGCTGCCAAAAACTTGGGTTGTGCCCTCTATACTCTGCAGCCCTTTTCTGTGAGCTGTTCTGCAAAGCTGAACTTGGATAACTGAAGTCGGCCTTTGAAGTGCACACTCGCCTTAATTTAACCATCTCTGTTGAAACGTGCTCCCCTATCAGCTTTCACACTGCCTGCCCTCTCCCCTGGGGCGCATTGAGCGATACTTTAAGGCGGTGGCGGTGCTCCACCCCTGGCATCGGGATCGCCGGGAGATTCCAGGCCCTGCCTCCAGAGATGCTGATTAATTGGTTTGGGGGTGGAGCCAGGGCAGAGTTTTAAAGCTCCCCAGATGGATCTACTGCACAACCAGTGTCAACAACTTCGGCTTTCAAGTTTTCCTGATGACCGAAGTCATCTGATCCAGTGTGTGACTTGGGCTCTCTTCTGACAGTGGTTGCTTAGATCTCGATGGGCATTTTGAGACCTCTGTCTGCTTCTTCCAGGACATCCATCCTTCTGAGGGGCTGTCTCACTGTGCTCCCCACGGTCCCTCTGTTCAGCCTGGGATCCACTGAGAAATCACAGGCTGAAGCGGGCAGAACTGCACCGAGACCCTGCCTGTGGAGACCATGGGGTCCATTAAGAGTTTTCCAGATTTTTCTTTCATTCTAGTTTTTCTCCACACTGGTGACAGTAAGCAGCCCAATGGGAAGATGCAGCTGCACATTCAATTGGAATGTTGATTAAGCACACCCAAAGCACCCACTATGTGCTGGGTCATAAACTGGACACTAACAATCCACTGTGTTGTTTGGTTGTGAGCACAGAGTGGCTACATCCTCTCCCAGGAAGCCCTCCTGGTTGGGATGACAGCCCTCCTCTGGGGACCTACACTCCCCCACACCTACCAGTCCCATGACCTTAATTCATTTGGCTGGTTTGGCGTGTGGGGACATGAACATCATCTGTCTGCCTCAGAGAACTCTCCAAAGTGGATAAGGGCATGTCTGTTAAAATGCACTACTTGTAGCAGCTGAACCCAAATGCCATGAGAGCACAGGCAAGGAAAGGGAATTCTGGCCAGAGACCAAGGGCTGGGGAATCTTGGAAGGCTTCCTGGCGGAGGTGGCACTAAGGCTTTAAAAGATGGAAAAAAATTAAGGCAGGAATGAGGGCAAAGAAGAGCCTTTCAGGCAAAGGGAACAGCATAAGCAAAGGTCCAGAGGTGGGACAAGGTGAAGAGCAAACTTTCTCAGCAGGATGGGAAGCCAGGAAGACTGGTGGGATCATACTCCAAACTGTCCAAAGCCAGAAGCTTCCATAGAGGCCCAGGGAATGGTCCTGGCTGGGAACTTGTCTGCACTAACTCTTCTGGAGGAGCAGAGTCTGAGGATTCTCCAGAGCCCCGTCCTATGATTTTCTGGCTCTTCTCAGGAAAATCCACCCACCTTATCAGCAAGGGGGATGCTGAGTTTCTGAGGCCTGGGTGGGTGCCAGACTCCACTGCTGACTCAGCTCTCAGGCAGCTGAGGACCTGGCATGCGGGGCTGGGGGCTTAAGAGCCAGTCCCCAGGAGGTAATGGGAAGCATGTCTCCCAGCTGTGTTACCCAATGGAGACCGCCCCCACTCCACCCACACCAGAGCCTCAATGTTCCTGAATGTGGATGAGGAGGACAGGGGCCAGAGGTCCCTAAGACTCTGCCTACTCCAGGATTCTGGGATTTCCGGGAGAAAATACTGTCCCTGTCTCCCTGGGAGAGATTGAGGGGGGACACAGCCCCCACAATCCCAGGACTCTGTCTCTGAGATAGCCATTTCTCTCATCAAGCCGACAAGGATTTGATTAGCACCCATTTCTAGGGCTCTGCTTCATTTCCAGCCCAACTATCAGGACCCTTCTCCTGTCCAATTTCCATCAGCTGGACCCTGTGTCCTCTTCCCAGAACCAGAAGGGGCTGGATTCTCTTAGCCTTACCTCTCCCCTGGCGCATGTGCCCCCTTTGGCACTGCTATTACTACAGTCATACTAGCCTGTCTGCTGCTACTACTATAGCTGCTGATAGGGGAACTCAAGAGTTAAAAATTGTAGCTTCAGTTATAGTTGATAAGCTTAAGTAATCAATGCATGTGGAAAGCTGGTATTCCAGGAACTGGAATGCATGACCTACTGATCCCAGGAAGTCCACAGGCAATTCAACTTTTGTACCCCAGGGGCCCTGCAAGCCTTCGAGATGGTATCTGAGCCATTGTGTTTCTCAGAGGGAATGTCTGTGATTCAGACAGAGAATTGTTGATCGGCAGATAAAGACATGAGGTACCTCACACTCCTCCTTGTTAATCTGTTCCAGAACTCCTGATGAGTGCTGAACAAGTGACGCGTGATGAAGCATTTTCTCTTGCTGGGCGTCGTGGTGACTCATACACATTCTAGCAAGTGCGCTGAGTCCCAGGCAAGCGCCAGGGTGCTAAAACATTTTTCTCATCAATATGTGACCAGTATAGTTCTGGTTGTTTGCTTAGTTTGTTCTATAGATTCAGTTGTTGATAGCTGTGAATTGGAGGGTTATCAGCTGGGAGCGGGAAGGGGGAGAATGGAGGGAAAGGTACAGGGATTAAGAAGCATAATTCATAGGTACAAAATAGACAGGGGGATGTTAAGAATATTATAGGGAATAGAGAAGCTGAAGAGCTTATATGCATGACCCGTGGGCATGAACTAAGGTGGAGGGGATTGCTGTAGAGAATAGGGTACCAGGCAGAGGGAGGCAAAGGAGGAAACATTGGAACAACTGTAATGGCATAATCAATAAAATATATTTTTTTAAAAATGTGATGAGTTCAGGGTTTGACATGTTTTGAAGCCAATGAGTATCAAGGTGTGACTGTACTAGGAAAATCGCTGCTGGACTGCAACTCTTACCTGATTAACCTTTTTCCAAACCCTCTTTTACCCTTTCCTTCTCCCTCTGAAAAGGTCAGCTTGAGATGGGCTGTCAAGTTGCATTTTAGGGTACATAACGCACCCTCTTCTCAGACCGCTGACATCTGAATAAAGCGCCCATAAAGATTCAATCCTTGTCTCTACTTACTGGTGCTGGTAGTGACAGGCAGCACGAATTCCTACTTTTCCAGTTTCACTGCCACTGTTTACTGGTACATGGAGCACTTCTACTACCACCACCACCAGTATTTCTACCACTTGATTACTACTAGCACTTCTACCATGACTACCACTAGTACCCTACCACTCCATTACTACTAGTGCTTCTTACTACGACTACCACCACCAGCACTTCTAGTAGTACCTCTACTACTGTTACCGCTATAACTTAGACTACTAATACTCTCACCATTACTGCTACTACTAGTGATCATACTGCTAGTATTTTTATACTAGTAGTATATACTACCACTGTTTCTGCTACAATGATGAACTACTTATTTACTTCTACTTCTCATAACAGCAAACATTAATGATTATATTGGGTTGGCCAAAAAGTCTGTTCAGTTTTTTTTTTTTTTTTGTAAAATAAAAGACACATTTCTCATTTTCACCAATAACTTTATTGATTTGGATATTTTGAGTATATTGGCTATCTCTTGCTATTGACCTCTAGTGGGTAGAGGCCAGGAGTGCTTCTAAGTATTTTCCAATGCATAAGACAGCCCCAAAGCAAAGAATTATTTGGCCAAATGTCAATAGTACCAGAAAACTTTGCAAACCACCTTTGACACGTTTGATCAGTCACAGCACCTTCTCCACACACTGCACAAATCTTTTTTGTTTCAGTTGCATATTTACCATTCTTGAAATAATAAAGCATTATATGCCATAAATGTATATTTCTTTCATCTTCAATATTAAAATGGCTACACACAAAATCCAAAATCCCCAATTTTGACAAGTTTTTTCAAATGCATGCTGATATGACGGCTGTCACAAAACAGTCTAACAAAATTGTTTTGAATGAAGTTAAAGACAATTAAGCACTACTACAGCCATCTTGCAGAAAAAAACAAATGAAGTTTTTGGCCAACCCAGTACACAATGGTCTAGGGACTGAGCTAAGCACAATCAACTGATGTATTTAATCATAGCAGCAGTCTTCTGTGGTATAAATATTCTCCCTGCGTTATGGGTGGGGAACCTGAGGCTTACAGGAGCTAAGTAAGTGCCTAAAGTCATAAGGACTGTAAGAGGCTGAAGCAGGATCTCAACTGGCAATGTGACTGTGGCGGCCACGTCTGAGATCTAGAATCCTGCCCCTCCTCTGTCCATTGTCTGGTTTCCTGGATACATCCTTGGCTTATCTTGAGTCTTCAGGAAAGGGGTCTCTGAAATTGAAGAAGAAAAGGGGACCTACGTTTTGCAAGGTTTCCCTACTGTTCGCAAGATTTCTAGAATGCCATGAGCAATGCAAATAGTAGATACTCAATGCAGATATGGTTTGGATTAGCTGGATCCCAACAACAACCCTTTAAGGCAGGGAGAAGGATGCAGATGCTACAGCTGAGACTCTCAGAAGAGCTGTGATCTCCCCAGAGGTAGGGTTGGGACTGCATGCCTGAACTGTCTTTTCGTGACCTTGGATACAACATGAAGCATTCACCCCAGCCACAAACTCTTTCATGTGCATTGCACTTTATAGTTTACAAAGCTCACACATCTGTCATGTGATTTCATTCTCACAATAACCCTTAGAGGGAGTGATCAACTCCACTGCATAGACAAAGAAACTGAGCTTAAATTAAGGCGGCTTTTGAGGGGCTCCTGGGGAGTCAGTGGCAAACCCAGGTTTTGAACCAACGCATCCTACCCTCCAAGGCCTGAAAGTAGGGGCCTCCTAGCTGGAAGAATCCAAGAGGCCTCTCTTGGGACGGCCCCCATTCCCTGCTCTGCCCAGCTACCTCAGCCCCTGTGGTAGGCGAGCCCTCAGCCCAAAGGGGCGGAGACAACTGGTTATTTCCAGCCTGGTACTTAAGGGCTGGCCAGGGAGTGGGGTGTGGGCTGGTCAGAGGGCTCTGTGCTCCCAAGAGGGTCTGGCCTTTGGCTACTGAGACCTAGGCAGGGGGTCAGGGATTTCTGTCCAAACCGCCTAGGCTAGCCAATGCTGGGCAGGTTTCCCAGGAGAGGGCAGGCCACTCCCTCCCCAAAAAGGTAAGATATAGGTAGCCAAGACGCACACAGGCAGCTCATTCAGCCCCCTCCAGCTCAGCTGACCCTGTTCTGGGCTGTGGCCCAAGCTGAGGCACTACCCCTGCTGCTCCCGAGAGATGGAAAGAGCAGACAGCGGTCCAGGTCCCGATAGGGGCTTAACGCAGCCATGGGGGCCTGCAGATCAGTTAAGAGCAAACACATTATGCTCTGAGAACTTCTCTCGTGCAACCCTCCCTCCTAGCAGGTCTGCAAGGTAGAAGTTGCCACCCCACTGCCCCTGAGAAATGCTATTGCCACACCGACCCCCTTTCAAAGCATCAAGCGTTTCCTGCCTCAGGACCTTATGCATGCTGTTCCCACCGCCTCGGTGCCGTTCCTTGAGTTCCTCACAGAGTTGCCTCCTCTGTCTCCAGGACTGAATTTAAAAAGCCACCTTTCAGTGATGTCTTGCCTAATGCCCCTGATGAATGAGTTCCCCCTACCCCACACACACCACCTTGTCAGTCACCCTCCTCTGCTTCCTCCCCAGCATTTGTATTGGTATTTTTGTTTTGTTGTTGAATATCTCTCTTCCCTGAGACAGCAAGGACAAAGCCTAGTTTATTGACCATCATGTCCCCAAGGTCCAGCAGAGGGCCTGACACCCAGAACAAACAGTTATCACATGCACAAGGAAGGGAAAGGAAGGCACTTGCCCAGGTCCTCATTGTTGGAGGGCATCGTCAGCATCCTAACTCAGCTCTGCCTCTTTCCAAGGGCACCACCGTGCTTCACGGGCATGCTCAGTGTGGACGCGTTGTCGGCCCACCCCCTGCACTGTTTCTTCCTCGGCCGGAGGCACACACAGGGCTCGGGGCTTTCTCTAACTCCTCTCGCAGGTCCTCCAGCTTCTGCTTGCACATCTCCGAGGCGCAGGTTGCTCACGGCATCACCCACTGCAATGTTAGACGCTTCTTCCTGATGCCACGTGACCTCCTGAACGACAGGATAGGCTGTTCTTCCCAATTCTCACGTGCTGAAAAGGAAGAATTTCTATCATTAGCACAAGGCTTTAGGCTTCAACAATGTACTTTGCTGTTTGCTTGTTTCCTAAGGCCCAACTGTGCGCCAGGCCAGTGGTCACAAAGGAGAGAGCCAAACAGCCTCAGTGTCTGCCTTCTCGATGATGCTGAAGGCCTGTGATGTCCTCTGAGCCACAGAACAGCCCTAGTGTTGGTGGAAGGGCACGTGCTGTAGATCTGAGGCTTCTGGAGCCTTACTGCACACACACAGCACCCAAGATCTTAAGACACGGATTCAGGTACCGAGATTCTGGACAGAGTGTCTGCTTGTGGCACAAGCCCTCAGGAGATGCCGCTGCTGCTGGTGCGTGGACCAACCACACTTTGAGGAGCAGGGTATAGGCCCAACTGATGAAGGAGGCCCAGAGTGAGTAAGGGACTTGCCCAGGGTCACCCGGCCAGGCAGCAGGGGCTGCGAAGGGACCACCTGACTCCTCGAGCCAGCACTCTGGAATTCGCAGTGCAGGCCGGGCTCACTGTGCCTTTGTGAGACGGCATACCTGAACTCACCCAGGCTGCCTGCCCCTGCCCGTGAATAGCGGGCCTCTTTCCTTCCTGCACCAGGCTGGGCAGGCGTGAGCCCATGGCCGCCCCCTCCCCTGCACACACACTCACACACCCTGGACGGCCCGCCTGCTCTCCCTGTTTGGGGAAAGTCAACAAGAGCATTTGAAAAGTCTTTCTGTGTGGAGAATCTGTTTGTATAGGGGGAGGAAGTGGAGAGCCGGCCAATAGGTAGAAATATTAATGAAGCTTGTTATAAAGGGCCCATTCACGGCTCTCCGAGTAAATAGGGCTCTTGTCGGGCTGCCACGTTATCTGCCAAGTTCAAGAATGTGGTTTGAAAAAATAGAATTTAAAGGGGTGAGGTGGAGCCTTAAATGGCTGGCCTGCTGGCACTGGAGCCAACTACAGGCTGAGCCTCTGCTGAGGGGCTGGGGCTGGGGGCACCGGGGTGCTGGGTCTTGGGGTGAGGGTCTGCCCAGGGACAAGGGCTGGGGAAGGAGGCCCCTTGGAGGGGTCTCAGAGAATCCCACGCACTGACGTGGAAGGCCTGGTGCCTTCCCTTCTCCCCTTGGTGTCCGGCCCACAGCTGCAGCTCCTCCACGCAGCCCCCCCACCCCGGGGGTGCGGGTCAGGAGTGGGACAAGGCTGCAGGGACAGTTCGGCCCTTGTGTACCTGAACTCCCCACGAGTCTTGCCCCTCGGGGTATTGGTAATGGGGGTCTTAGGTGGCAGAGCGAGGACTTCTTAGTAGCTCTCAGCTATAATGCGCTGCCAATCCACAAACCCCAGCCATCTTCTCTTGCCTCTTGCTCTACTTTACAAATCGTTA